GCTACATGGACCATGGCCGCAAAATCCAATACCTACAAATCGGCTTCTTCATTGGCTATGATTCTTTCATGCACCATACAATTTCTCTTCTTCTAAGGAACAATACCAGAACCGGCGGTCGCATGGGGCTGGCCGATGTTGGGTTTAGAAGATGGAGTGAGAAGAAGGTTTTGTTGTGGGTAGTGTCAAAACTTTGAAGTATAACATTACACCCCTGAGAAATCTTGAGAAGAAGGCCGTGCCGGCCGACCATTCACCATAATCGGCTGAGATGGTGGCTTAATCTTAGGAACTTGAACCCCTTGGCTGGGTTGGTTACCCCCTTTGATTATGTGACCTAAGGGAGTAGGAGCTAGGTGGTGGAGGAGGTCGAGAAGGAGCCTTGGCTTCTCCAAACATTACTATTCCCTTCCTTCTTTCCCATTTTACCTTTTCCTCCCTTCCTTCTTTCCCATTTTACCTTTTCCCCCCTTCCTTCTTTCCCATTTTACCTTTTCCCTTGCCTTTCTTATTATTATTATCCCCGGGGGGGGGGGACCGTGTCCTTGGTCGGCCTCCATGAAGTGGGTTATCTTGTCAATGCTCAATGGTATATCTCTTGCCACTAGGCTGGCCACAAACCCTGCTGACATGGAAGATATAGAAATGATGAAGAGGGTGATAAGAACCTCTTGATCATAGGGTGTGGTGGCAACTTCTTCATCTCGAACACATTGCTTGAACTCCTTTAGATGTTCACTCGTCTTGGTTTGATCATCCATCTTGTATGCTGGCGCCTTCTTCGTCTTTATGATCTTCTCAGCTCTTGACACTTTTTCTACAAAATTTTTCTACTTTAAAATAGTTTTTGACCAATTTTTTAATTCTTATAATGAATTCCTAAAATCTTTACAAATTTTCTTGTAATGGAAAACGAAAAAATTTTATATAGAGCCGAGGCTCTAAATAATCAAATTTGAGCCACCTCAAAAATTCCATTAGAAGTAGTTGTTTTGATGCCCAAATATCCTCAAATTGATCTTCTCGACATCAAGATTCATGGACATGAGAAAAAAATGGATTTCAAGTTTTGGAAATAGTGCATCTTATAACGTATTTTGGACCATCAATTTTCAAGATTTTTAAGTTTTCATAGATCTACTCAATCTACACTATTTTTTAAGCTTTAAATTTATAATTAGAGATGAAAATATATTTTAAGGCTATCACAAAGATTTTCAATATTGAAACCACATTTCTTGACACTATTTGCAGGTGTGCTTTACTTTGATTGTTTAGAGCCTCGGCTCTATACAAATCGTACTCATAGAAATTTGTTTTGTCTTTTTCTTTTATTAGTTAAATAACTGTATATTTTTTAATGACTTCTTACGCTTTGAAATTTATCTATATCTAGTGTTTAGATTTATTAATTATAATATACTTTTATTACAAATTTTCACAACATTAAAAGAAAAAGTATAAGATGAGACTATTTAGTTTTGATACAAGGAAGCTACATTCACCCCGAGCCATCAAATGTGAAATCAAGTAACTAAAAGGGTGTCATTGATTATGCAGAATGCTCAATAAAACTATTTTTGAAATTTGTAACTTATTATTAGTGTCCAAATTTAAAATCTAATGGCTAGAGATGATTATGACCTTTCTGTATGAAAAATAAATGGTCTCTTAGTATACATTCCATTAACATAAACTATATTGTCTTTACAATGAAAAGATATTTTAAATTTCTATTATGTTAATTATATATATGACTAATTTTTTATTTTTATTCATTACATATATTGTATTCAAATATTTATTATTTTCTCGTAGGTGAGTCATGTAAATGACATGAATTTATAATGGATATCTTAAGTTTCATCTAACACTATAGAGTTTAAAACGGATTGCTGACTTCTTTTATTCTTTAAAATTCTATTATTGTCATCTCATCACATTTCTATGTGCAATTCAAATGCGCTAGTTCGAGGTAACTTGAGGCTTGAACCTGGTCCGGAGGTTTACAAAACTGAAGACTCTCTAAATCTAAGTTGTCTCAGGAAATTCCAAGTCAGTATCTTAACGGGGTTATCATCATACCATCCATGGCATGGACGGTGATGTTGTGAGGGTAGGCTGTGCATTTTGATATTCTAACACATTTTCTCCCAATTCATCACCGTTCACATCAATCAAGGTGATGACCCCTATATGGCGATATCACTGGCCTGGTTGTTCAGACACACCATTTTCTCTTGGCCGGATTCATTGTTACTTGTACAGTAACAGCATAAGCAAGGCGCACATTTAAATCTTGCTCAGTTCCATAAACCTTATGGCTTGAAAATCTGTGTTTAACTCTAATTATAAAATTAAAAGTTTTAAAAACAATGATTTATAAATACTTGGGGAATCTTAACAATAGTCCATGTAGATAACTTATTACAAGATACACTATTTTTAGGACTACATACTCCCCATGTACGTACAGCTACAGTTAACGCCCAACGGCCCAGATTGAGTCTGGACTGATCTAATGGTCATAGTTGTACAAGAGTGTTTGGATTTTAATTTTTTTTCTACAAATTCAAATGATCTGAAATTTGAAGCATGTGTACATCTTAGTGAGGCGCACCTAATAAAAATATAAAAATAAAAATTTATAAAAATAATGACCAAAATACCCTTACAACTTTTCGAGAGTATTTTGGTCAATTTATTTCATATAAAATATTGTTTTTATATTTTTCATAGATTCACCTATTTTTTATGAACATATATGCCAAATTTTAAATCATTCTGATTTATATAATAAAAATAAAAAATAAAATACTACCAGACATCCGTGATCGTCAGATCGGCCTAGATTCAATTTGGGGCATTCGGCGTTTACTTTAGCAGTACGCGAATCAGTGTACCATAACATATATATATATATTAATGATCCTATGAGACTCTCCTACACGTAGTGTGCAGGACCCCAAAGGATCACCATTAAATTTGGCACAGATATCTAAAAAAGTCAAGTCCCCACACCCATGTGATAATTTTTCTAAAGATATGTGCCAATTTTAATGGTGATCCTTTGGGATCCAACACACTACAAAATGCTAGAAGCGAAAATGAACAGTGATTTCGCTTATCCTCATCACCGTCCAAAGTTCATCGCAAGGTCACGATTGTCTGGTAGTATTTCATTTTTCATTTTTTTTTATATAAATCGAAATGACCTAAAATTTGAAGCTTAAGAAAAATATCAAAAAAATATTTTACATGAAAAAAATTGATCAAAATACCCCAGAAAAGTTTCAAAGGTATTTTGGTCAATATTTTTTTAAAAATTATTATATTTATTAAGTGTGTCTCACTAAGATGTACACACGCTCCAAATTTCATATCATTCTAATTTGTAAAAAAAATAAAAAATAAAGCACTACCGGACAATCGTGACCGTGCGATGAACTTTGGACGGTGATGAAGGTAGACGAAATCATTGTTCATTTTGACCAAAATACCCTTAAAATGTTTTGAAGGTATTTTGATCAATTTATTTCATGTAAAATATTGTTTTGATATTTTTAGCAGATTTGCCTATTTTTTATGAACACACTTTCAAAATTTCAGATTATTTCGATTTGTAGAAACAAATAAAAAATAAAACACTACTGAACAATCATAACCGTGCGATGAACTTTAGACGGTGATGAGGGTAGGAGAAATCACTATTCATTTTCTCCTATAGGCGTTTTGTAGTATCTTCCTATATATATATATATATATATATATATATATGTATAACCATCTTATGGCCATTTGTTGGATCCAAATTTTGAAATATGCACTATTTTTCATTTTAATGAACAATTATAAAAAAATAAAAAATTGAAAACATAACCTAGAAAGTATTTTTTAGCCCAATTAACATATGTTGTTCTTGGTGATATGCTTAGATCTAGGCCTTAGAAGGATTTTTTTATTTTCAATTGTTTTGGATAGGTTTATTATCATTAGATGAACAATGTTAAAAAAAGAAAAAAATATTTTGAGCTTATAAAGGCTAAGATCTTGACATTCACAAATGAATGGTCTAGATTCGTTTTTGGAGGGGACTCATTTTTGCTATATGTAGGGTTCAAATTGAACTTTTATTTTTTGTGGGGGGGAGTTGACTATTGAGATGAAGAGAGTGTGTGTGCCAAATTTGGGGCCATAAAAATACCACAAACATGATTTTTTAGAAGTGTCGTTACATTATACTATAATACAACTGTTGCATTGGATCATTCCTTTTATATATATATATATATATATAGCAATGAATATATATATATACAACCAGACAAAAATATGGTTTCCAAAATTACAAAAACCCCCAACTTTCCAGCCAGTTACCTCAACAAAACTTTTTTTTACATTTTTTTTCTCTAAAATACTTTTGCAGCAAATACCCCAAATCAAAATATATTTTTTTAGACAATAATGCCCTACTCATGCACAAGAAATTATTTTGACCAGATTTGGCATGGACTGTCAGACCTGAGTAGCAATTATCATACCGTACCATCGAATTGCGAAACCCCTACATTTATGTTGGACCAAACTTTAAATTGCCGGACCCTTTATTCCAAAAAAATGAATGACGGACCGCACTTTTCAACCTCCCGACCCCTTGTTATTCCATTTACTTTTATCGTCAAACCACCATTGTTATTTTAGTGGACCGATATTACACTGCCATACCGCCCTAAGAATGCACCAGATCGCCTTTTCATGGGAAAAGAGGAGAGAGAGGCATGGTAAAAATAAAGATGGATAACTTTAGATTTGTTTTTTTTGAGTTGGGGGTATTTGTAGGCAAAATGTATTTTGGATAAAAAAACGATAATAAAAAAAAGGTTTGGTTGATGGTGACTTGCATAGTCTTTGGGGTTATTTGTAATTTCCCCATTCACCTCGACTATTATGTCGATGAAAGGCAAATTATTGTCCATTTGAATCTCTCGAGATTTCAGCAGGGTCCCCAACGGTCCGCAAGACCCAAAATCCTGGCCGTTAAAACCCCCCTGCCCCATTTTTAAATTTGAATGACCATTCACCCCTCTTTCTAAATGTTCGAGAGAGCCTCCTGCTAAAACTAAGTATATCTCTCTCAATTTTCATTTCTTGCCTTTTTTGATCGACCCATCAAGGCCTCCAGGTATGGTTCTCTGATTTCTTTGTTTAATGGATGTCACGTTTTTTCAGTTCAGAAAATGGATATCTCTTTCTTTACCATAATGTTTCCATGCTTCGCCACCATCATCCCTGCTCTCTCTCTCTATTCTTTCTTTTTTAATCAGAAGCCCGGGATAATGCTCCAGAGTTCCATGGCTGATATTCAAAACCCTAATGTGACCCAAGTAGTAAACAGTTGACTTTTCTTATTTTAAATCTTTCTTCTGAGATGGTTAATTGTCATTGGATTTTGCAGGGAATTTGATTATGTCTTTGACTCAAGATCACACACCCCAACGTCATCAGCAGAGAAAGTTGGGCTCGATGGGGTATGTTTCCCCTTCGCCTACTCCTCGTGCAGAGAAGAGAAGAACAGTAGGGACTCCTGTTTCTGATTGTAACGTCAATAGGCATGAGAGAGACAGAGAGGTTAATGTGCAGGTTGTTTTAAGATGCAGGTATATGCAACCACCATGTCCATATTTATGGTACTGACTATATGAATTCCAATTCTACATGTTGATTCCCATTTCAAGTGATCTCCATCTGTCTATCTATCTATCTCTCTCTTCCTCCAATATTCCAATATTCTATTTTAATCTGTTGGTGTATGTTTATTTTCCATAAGCTTTTATCATTATTTCTTGAGGTTGGTCCTGTTTGTAAAATAAGTATTAATGATCATTGTTTTTATTACTGTTTACAATTGTCTATGTCTGGTTTTAAGAAATTACTCCTCAAATTTACTGTCGTGAATTTTGATTTTAATGCAAAATATTCTTAATTGGGCTCTTTGAGAAGTGATTATGGATAGAAAAATTACTTTTATTGATCTTGTGTAGGCCTTTAAGTGAGGATGAGCTTAGACTAAACATACCTAAAGTTATCTCTTGCAATGAGCAAAGAAGGGAGGTGACTGTCGTGCAAAGTAACAGAGTCGATAGGACCTTCACTTTCGATAAGGTACACTATAAAAGATTGGCGTTCTTTCTATTAAAGGGTCTGTTTGTTTGTTTCATTTCTGGAATTCTGGGTTTCTGATCACACGGTCACCCTAAGAATCAGAGTTTTATTGATCTCATTTTACAAAATTTATGGCAGGTTTTTGGCCCCAAATCTCAACAAAGAGCAATATATGATCATGCCATAACACCCATGGTTAATGAAGTCCTTGAAGGTTTTAACTGCACTATATTTGCATATGGGCAAACTGGCACAGGCAAAACTTACACCATGGAAGGGGGAGCGAAAGCTAAGGTTTAATTTAAAAAATTTATTGCATTACCTGTCATCTGCATAGGCATATTATAAGATTTTTGGATCTTTGTCTATTTGTTGATTTATTTCATTATAGGGAGGTGAATTACCTGTTGAGTCTGGTGTGATTCCAAGGGCAGTTCGCCAGATTTTCGACACTTTAGAAGCACAGAAGGCTGATTACAGTATGAAAATAACCTTCTTGGAGCTTTATAATGAAGAAATAACTGATTTATTAGCACCCGAGGAATATCCTAGATCTCTTGAAGATAAATCAAGGAAGTCAATTTCTCTTATGGAGGATGGAAAGGGTGGTGTTGTAGTGAGAGGCTTGGAGGAAGAGGTTGTCTATAGTGCAAATGAGATTTATAACCTTTTGGAACGAGGGTCAGCAAAAAGGCGTACTGCTGAAACATTACTAAACAAACACAGCAGGTAGATTATCATATTTATGGTACTGTAGTTCATTATGAAGAGAAGGAACATTTTGCTGCATGTTAACTTTTGAATTTTCAATCTCTTTAAGAAAAGATGCATGATTAAATATGCTTGTATGTGAATGCAGCCGTTCTCATTCCATATTTTCTATAACTGTCAATGTAAAAGAAGCCTCGTTAGGGGATGAGGAGCTTATTAAATGTGGAAAACTTAATCTTGTAGACCTGGCAGGCTCAGAAAACATTTCCAGGTCAGGTGCTCGTGAGGTATGTCATTTGTGTCTAGCATTTATTAAGTGGAATGGAAGAACTTACAATGGTGGAGGTCTTTATATTTTTATCTTTTTTGAGGATAGTTGTTTTTATATTTTCTTCCAGTTGAACTTTTTGATTTCTTAATAACATGGGGCATGCCTGTAATGGTCCAAAACTTGATAGATGATATGAACTTGAGCGACGATATGAACTTAATAGATAATATGAACATAAGAGACAACATTGTCAGATATAATTATCCATGATTAGTTTCATATAACACATCTGTTTTTTTCGTTTTGACATATCCTACTAATGATTCATTGCAAATAACATTAACCATTATCCAGAACTTTCATATCCCAAATTTTGTGCCATAGTATTTTGATATTTGGTATATATGCTCACTCAAGAGCAACTCTAAAAGACTCCTGTTTAAGGATGTCACTCAACCTTCTTAAACTACAAAAGTTCATGGAAGACGAGGCTCATACATTGGAGACTCCTCTACTATTGTGTTTCATTTTTCTTCATGGATTTGAAGTAGCACTCTGCTAATCCTTTCTGGTAATACTTTGTCACGATCTTCTTGAGTGATAGTTCCACTAATTACCGAATCATTTTATGAAAAAAATGATATCATGTCACAAAGAAAGTCGCACTCACTACTCATTTCGTGAAGAAAAGAAGCCTTTGATCCTTGCTCACTTTTCATGATTTGAATTGGCTATTAGTAGATGGGGTATGAGTGTCTAAAGAAGGGGCATTAGCAGCCTTCTTCCCCTGATCAGGATTTCTTCCTTTCCTGCCATGGTGTTGTTTTCCTAAACAAAGGACTGCATTCAAAGGCCTGCATTCATGTGGCTGTAATCATACAGGAATACCTCTCTTTGAAAGCTCACAATAGCTTCCAAGTCATATTTGAGCCCTCTCTAACTCATAAACTATCGTACCAGTGCTCGACTCAGCTTTTTAATATATCATCCTAGTGATTTTCATCCACTTTTTTTAATAAGAAACTGCATTTGAGTTTCTTTTGCTGGCCAATTATCGAGGCCTTTGAGGACTATTCTCTAGCGCCAGAAGTGGCACAAAAACTATTTTCTTCATGGGGACATGGCCTTGCTATTACCTCCCAAAAGCATCCAAAATAGATGATGTTACATTTGATTGTTACTTTGACAAATCCTTCTCTATATCTCCCTAGGGCAAGATGTTCCGTCAACAATTTCCAATCAATGCATAGGCATGCTAGTTCCTGATGAGGCTTCACCCTCATGACTTGTCCAGTGCCATATTGGTCCTGTTGACCTTTTGCTGATTCCTTGACTTTTGGCATATACTATGGTAGCATTCGTATATCCCTCATCTCTGATTTTACTACAGTTGTAACCATATCAAATGTTTTCATATGCTTACTTGACTAGTTATAGTATTCTAAACCTTCCAAACCATATCAAATGTTTTCATATGCTTACTTGACTAGTTATAATATTCTAAACCTTCCAATGGCTTCTTAATAAATTCGTAGGGATGTGTAGGTGCTACAATAACACTACATGTAATCCATGAGAACTCTAGACTCCATTCTAGCTTGTTAGAATTCTTCACTTGTTTCATGTTCTAACTAGAGACTTGAAAATTCTTCTGAACTTCTCAACGTCCAGTAAAATTTCAGTTTCACTGTGAAAGGGCCTCATGGGTCAGGTTTTCTTGTGAAGTAAGCTTGGAAGATAGAAGTACAAGCTACAAATCAATGCACCTTTGGAGATAATAAATTAACAGTTTGAGTGTGATATCAAGAATTGTATGGGAGAAAAGTAAATACAACACCTGCAGCTACAACTAGATAGGAATAGTGGAGCCTCTTTATATCTATGTTTCTCCCTTGAATGTGTGAATTTGTTTTGCAGGGGAGAGCTAGGGAAGCCGGGGAGATAAACAAGAGTTTGCTCACACTTGGGCGTGTCATAAATGCACTTGTAGAGCATTCTGGTCACATTCCTTACAGGTGTGAGTTTATAGATGGTTTCTCCTTTTATGTCTCATAATTTCATACAGTACAAAGGTATTGATTTTTTAACACTCTTTTCACATTGAAAACTCAAATCAGGGATAGCAAACTGACGAGACTTCTACGAGATTCTTTGGGTGGGAAAACAAGAACTTGCATCATAGCAACAATATCTCCATCAATCCATTGTTTGGAAGAAACCTTAAGCACACTAGATTATGCATATCGTGCTAAAAACATCAAAAATAAACCCGAGGTATGAATATCTATCTACAATTAACTACTGACTCTGGCTCTTTTTATATGACACTTATATTCAGTCCTTTCCTTCCTTTCCATATTTTATATGTTCAAAGTCTTCAAACAAAACTCTATTTACAGGCAAATCAGAAAATGTCAAAGTCTGTATTGCTCAAGGATCTGTACTTGGAAATGGAACAAATGAAACAAGGTATGAAATTTGGCTATCACTTGTCACAGACATTCTTTATTGAGTGACTAAGTGAACCTTATTCATTTTCAACTACAATCAAACCTTTAATAGATGTACGGGCAGCAAGAGAGAAGAATGGCGTGTATATTCCTCATGAGCGATTTATCCAGGATGAGGCTAATAAGAAGGTCTGCGTTTGTATTAATTCTGATTCTATTTCTGTCTTATTATTATGAAGTTTTGCATTTTACATCTGGGTACTTTTGCTAATTTTGGACACCCTCTGAGATCAGGCTATGAGTGAAAAGATTGATCAGCTGGAATTTGATCTGGTACTTAGTGGAAGGGTACGAGTTTCTATTGTAAATTTCTCTGCCATTCATTTCCAATAGTTCTTCTTTTGCATCTAAGTGGACATTTTTCTTGATGAGTATGTCTTATGTGCTGAAATCCAGAAAGTTGAAGAATTTCAAGAACTTTACAGTTCAGAACAAGAGCAGAAATTGGGTCTGCAGAATGATTTAATTCAGACTAAGGTGTATAAACATGCCACATACTATTTTGTAGTCATCTCTAAGGGCACACAAGTAAACTTTGTTCTATCATAAGTAAATTACTTTCTGTTTTCAGATGAAGTTTGAGAGTACTGAGAAGACACTGGAAGAGCTTCAAGAGGATTATAGGATAGCCAACTGCACAATAAAGGAGAAAGAGTTAATCATATCTGATCTCTTACGCTCAGGTATGTAGCCAAAAAGTGAAAAGCACATTTTAGCATTACAATGAACTAATTTTTTTATTTTTTATAAAGCAGCCTATAACTGATATTGTGCATGCAATATATTCTCTCTCTCTCTCTCTCTCTCTCTCTCTCTCTCTCTCTCTTGCACGGGTGCGCGCACGCTCGCATGCTCACCATGACATGGTTCCTGAATTCTTAATCATATTTTTCTATCTTTGATTCAGATTGTTTTTCTTTTTGTGTACTTCTCGGTTCCTTTTTTTTGGTTGCTTTTCTTCTTGTTTTCTTGTTTTCTTGTTTTCTTTACTGCACTCTTCTTTTCATATTTTGGTTTTATTAATTATATTCCACTTTTTCTTGTTTCTTTTGTTTTTGTGCTTTTTATGTACTTTTTTATTTTCATTGTGCTTTTCTTTGTTTCTGAGTCAGTATCCAACTTTTTTTTCTCATTTTTTTTCCTTATATAACTTTTTTCAACTTGTGCATATTATGCATTTTAGTTGTTAGTTTAATGCCAATTTTCAAATGGATGTGCAGAGAAGTCCCTCTTTGAACATGCTGTGAGCCTAAGAGGAGAGCTAGCAGATGCTTCAAATGATATAACTGGATTTAGAGCCAAAATAGGTAATTACATACCGAACTGGTCTGACTTCTCAGCCCTTACGGAAGATGCGTTCTTATTATGAATGAATTTGCCTTTTTACAACAGAAAGAAAGAACAAGTCGGAGAAAGAGAACCAGAATATGGTTCAAGCTTTTGGTTCTCAGCTTCACCATAGTTTTGAAAACTTAGAGAAGACCGTTGTGGGTTCTATTTCTCACCAGAAGCAACAATTTAGATTCATGGAAGAGCAAGTTCAATCATTTGTTTCTGGCAAACAAGAGGTAGAGAAAAAATAATAAAGGGAGGTTGATTATACAGTAACTTTAAAGATGGTATGTTAAAAATATTTTAAAGCTAATCTGTTAAAATTATTGATTGTTTCTTCTTTTGTAGGCATCAAAAGTCTTGCAGTCAAGGATTGAAAATATGAAAGACATTTATACTTCAGGAATCAAGGTTATGCAGGAACTTGCAACTTCACTTGAAAGGAATGCTTCCTCCAATCTAGAGCTGCTCAGCACAACGGCATCCACTCAAGCAGAGACTATTGAAAATGTAAGAAAGGGATCAGAATGTGCAGAAAGCCATCACTAAAACAAAAAGTAATTGGAAGAGTTTGATATTTAGCTATGGAGTCTTGATGAGTTTTCAATATGTATTTCTTGGCAGTTTCTGGTAACTGCAATTTCAGAGGCAGAGCAAGTCCTACATGAATTCCAGGGTTCTCTTGCTGAGCAGGAGAAGTTGTTGGAATTTTCTGCTCATCAACAGGAAGAGGTGGGAGAGAACCTAATCTCATTTCCTTTAATCCCCCCTGTTTTTTTTCCTATCTACATACATAAAATTTTTTAAAACTAAGTGATACTTTAGATCTATGTTATTTAACATTTATTTTTACTCATCTCTGTTACTTTACAGCTCATTCCAAGTATGGAATCTTCCCCTCTTAGTTCAAAATTTAATGCAATGAATAAAGTGTTGTGAAATATATTGTTCTTTATTTTTTATGCCTTTTGATTTCTGTATTTTCTGTTCCTTGATTTGAGTTGCTCCTTGATAGAATTGCAATCTAAATATGTTTTTGGTGTGCTTTGGGAATGTTTAGGCACTACAGCGGAGTTTGGTGTCAACACAGTTGATCTCAAAGACAACTGTTGATTTCTTAGAGAACTTGCACACCAACGCATCTATGATCAACAAGGTTCTTGATGAGAGTCAAACAGAAAAAAGCAGAAAACTGGCAGACTTTGAGAAAGCATTCAAGGTGACTATCAACTTGGCACTATAAAACATTGGTTGTTGAAAGACTGAGACTAGGACACTAACTCCATTGTCTGGCCATCTCAGAGTTGCACCTTTAACCTATCGAGGTTGTTTGTTGATCTTTCATAGCCCTAGTTTGGGTATAAGGGTAATGGGTTATCATTGTTATTAATATACTTGGATGGCCTTTGCAAACATAACAAAAATCAAATTATCAACTGGTTATAATTTACTTATTTTGTTTGAATCACACAGCAAAATTCAGCTGAAGAGGATAAAATGGTCTTGGAAAAAATTGCCAAACTATTGGCTACATCTTCTGCGAGGAAAGCAGATATTGTAAGTGCATGCTGATCCCTTCAAATCAGTAAATGAAATTAAGCAGCTCACTACCATCAAGTGTTGCAAATATGATAATCCTATAACCATTTCTGCAGATCGCTACTGCCATCCAGGACATGGACACTACTGCTACAAATGAGACAGAGAAGTTACAGCATAATGTGTGCAAGATCCAGCAAGTTTCAGTTGAAGCTAAAAGAGAATGGAATGCCTATATAGAAAAAGTAGAAAGCCAGTTTCAGGAGAACACATTTGCTGCAGGTGGTATTAGGAGCAAAATGGAAACCAACCTTCAAGAATGGTGAGTTTGATTCACCTTCCATCATAGATTGAGAAGGAAAGAAGAGAAAAGAAAAGACGAATGTAAGAGGAAAAAAAAAAAAAATTAAATCGTTGGTATTTCTTCTCTGATATTATATAGCCAAACTGATCATGTAAACTACCGTCTTAAGCATATATCGTAACATGCAGCATAAAGAAAGTAGACCAATCCCAGAAACTGTGGGATAACACTAGCCAATCTCTGAAGACTCTCAACAAGGAAAATGCTGCTGAGAGAGAATCCATAATGAAGTACGTATAAGTGGCCCCTTTCATTCTTATGCCATTCTTTATTTCATATGAATTCTTCTTCATTTACTGTTTATTCTGTTTATCTGGTTTTCTTCTTTTTCTCAACAGCGATGGAAATAATTCAAATGCAAAGCTACTCGCGGAGTTCTCCTGCGGTTCCTCTACTACTGATGCTGAAATGGAGGGTGCAAGTTCCTGCCTACTAGCTGGCATAAACAGTAATTTTTCTATCTTTCCCTTTATATCTGGTCTAGCATTGGCATTAGTATTGTCAAATCCAACAAGAATATTTTTTTGTTTATTCAGATCTTCTAGTCCTTGACCATGAAGCTCAAAAGGAAATGGAGTCTACAATTGCCTTCAGCTCTTCAGTACTCCAAGATCTCCAGCAATATCATAGTGATGGCCTGTCAAATATGAGAAACGAGGCCAACCAATTCACAGATGATTACTTGGTAAGGACTCAGGTCTTTCTAGCAAGAGAACTTGATTGAAAGTATTCAGAGTCTATTTCTAGTGAGAGAGGTTCTCGACTAGAGAGAGAAGTCTACATCTCATGTTACTAAAAACTAATCCTGAAATTGATACTGAATTGTTTCTGAATTATCATAGGTGGATCAACCAACATGCATGACACCGAGAGAACGAACCATTAATATACCCAGCTTGGCCTCCATTCAAGAGTTACGGACACCTTCCTTTGATGACCTGTTGGAGAACATGAAAAGCACGAATAAATCAAAGGCACCAGTTGCTGCATTATCATCAGATTCAACGAGAACTCCTTTCTCAACAATCAACTGATGTATGCCACGGGTGCCTTTTTTCAATGATTTATCGGAAAAAGATAGCGCCATTTTGATTAGCTGTTATCAGGTCTTAAGCACATCAACTCATATGTGCTATATGTATGTAACAGATAATTTCTGGTAGATGGCATATGATGTGAGGACAAATCATGTGTCTATGCTCTATACATATAATGTTCATTATTATTAAGAGATTACTAATCAATGCAGATTTCCTGTTCATGACAATTCTAATGGAAAAAACTTTGTTTCTTGTCTCAATTTCCTTGAATTTGAATGAACAATGCATACTATTATCCTTGTGTATCAAATACAAGTGCAGGATGACACATGCAACGCTTGGGCATTATGGTAAAGCAATGAGCACAAATTTGTATGTAGCTAGTAAAAAGTGACTCGTCCATTGGGTGGGCTTTTTACCAAATGAAAAATTTAATGGACCAGTCACTTTTTACAAAATGAAAAATTTACTGTGTAGGAGGTTTTCATGGGGTTGCAATCTTAAACAATCAATATATGGTGCATCTCCAAATGCTATCTTAAGATGCAATATTGGCATCGAAAATTCTTAGGATGGTTCAAGAATCAATTTTGATTTCTAATTATAAAATTTTTAATTCTAGAAATGATTCAAATCAAGCTGGTCTATAAATTCATGAAAATCTTGAAAATGGACGGTCCAGATAATATATGGCAAGATGTATTATTTTTAAGACCTGAAATATTTTCTCTTCTCCATATTCATATATCACGATATCGAGATGGTCAATCGGATGTTTTTCCAACATCAAAATGGCCCTTCTCAGATTTTTGAGGTGCCCCTTAATTCTACATTTTAAGGTGGCAACCTTATATAACTTTTTTCCTTTAACTAATAGATGGGCTCTTTCAATTAATTCTACATTTTAAGATAACCTTACATAAACTTTTTTTTTTTAACTAATAGATGGGCTCAATCACAAAATGTCTTGGACATGTAAGAGAGAGAGAGGGGGGGAGATTAATTACGTACGTGAAATATGACAGGTATATAGGGAAAGAATGGTAATTGGTAAGGTCCTGTCAGTTTCATTTCGCCATTTTTCTTTTATTGAGTAATTTACATACGGACCCTAAAATTTTAGGTAAAATATGAAATACTCCACTTATATGCGGAAATTACAAATAAGGTCGGTCAACTTTTTTTTTTTTTTTTCAAAATTGCCTTTCGGTCAACCAATTGATATTTAAAAAAAAAAAATAGCTTTTTCATTAGTAAGGCAGTGCCCCAAGATTTAAGGCACTATCCTAGTATTGAAAACACTAAAAAACAAAATTAAGGTTAACCAAAGTGCAATTTTAGAAAAAAAAAAAAAATGGTTAACCGACCTTCTTTGTAATTTCTACATATAAGTGGAGCATTTCATAATTTACATAAAATTTTAGGGTTTGTATGTAAATCACTCTTCTTTTATCCACAAGGAAGCCCATTACTAAAAGCTATAAATTAAGTAGTCTCTATTCAATCTTAGAGCATTACAGTTTTAGGGACATAAAAGTGTGCATGATATATTTCTTCTTCTTTTTTTAATTGTTGTTGATTGCTATTTGAGATGAAGCCTCTCTAAATTTTAGGATTCTAAATAGGGTTTTACTAGGGGGAAGGGAGTGAAAGGACAAAGTGCATAACTAAATGGGAAAAGTTCATAAATAGCCAAGGCACTAAACAATCAAATATAGTTCAACTCAAAACTTTCACTATAAGATGTTGTTTTGATGCCCACATATCTTCAATTGGTAATCTTGACATCAAGATGCACGGACATGAGAAGAAATAGATTTTAAGTTTTGAAAATAGTGCATCTTGTAACATATTTTTTGACCATCAATTTTCAAGATTTTCAAGTTTTCATAGATCTGCTAGATCTACACTATGTTTGAAGCTTTAAATTTTATAATTAAAAATGAAAAGATATTTTAAGGCCGTCACAAAAATTTTCAGTATTGAAACACATTTCTCGATACCATTTAAAAATAGGCTTTACTTTGATTGGTTAGAGCCTCGACTCTATACAAACCGCACCCTAACTAAATTTATCTTTTAGCTTTAAGCACTGATATATTTCTCTAAAAGATTATTTGTTCATGCGGGCATATGCTCCCCTCTAGGAGTATTTCTATGACCTCGAAATTTGGAGTGTAACCTCCTTAACCCAGTGAGTAATCTATAAAAATAAAAAGAAAATTATACGTACTCTAAAGTGCCTGGAAACACGACCAATATTTGGATGATAAGTTCTGCACGTTTAAAACCTCAAAATTCATTTTCTTTTTAAATATATTCATAGTAATTCTAAAGTGCCCAAATTGTTAGATCAATAAAATAATTGTTCCCAACGGAGTAAGTGTACAACATGCTCTAGCGGGAGTGTAATATGCATACTATTTTTATGAATAGTGCATAGAAATGTGAGAGATAAATAAGTAAAAGTGTATAGAGAGTGCTATCTGGAATTTTTTTTATTGAGGTTAGTCTGAGTAGAAAAGTTTATATCTCATCCTACAATTACTCTTAGTTTTGCCAAAGGAAATAACTGGATAGTATGCTCCAGCGGAACCATTAAAGCATTTGACAATGAGTAATCGGGCGGCTATAGCAGTGTAGAAAAAGTACGTAATTGGTGGAAGCACTCTATATGCTTACGCCTTCGTGTCGAAGATCATGAATGATTTTACTTTCTTAGTTTAACACGAAGGATTTTATTTTCTTATATAAAATTTTGACATTCACTCTGTAATCCCACAAGAGTATTCATTTAGAAGAATTTTGAAATCAGAAGGCTGAGAGTGTGCCGTTCACTTAATTCAAAAAATAAATGGCCTTATAGAGCGATAGTATACAATATTTAATTTTTAAGCACATTAACTTTTTCAAAGAGTGAAGTTCATTGGTCTACTCTCTTTTTTTTAATGGGTTTTTATATGTTAACAATAGTAATGCAGTGTTGAATGTCATATTGAGGCATACGTCCCCCTAACCACCTATGCCCCAACTCCATTTCCAAATTTTCATTTTTTTTTAATATGTTATATTGAGGCAAGAGAAGATATGGGTTTGTAATCTTATTGAAGGTATGACCATTGATAAAGCATAATGGAATACCAAGATTTGAGTAGTTGATCTCAAATAATTGAAAAACGACTTTTAATGATGATGATATTATTCGGAGGCATTTGCCCCCAACCACTCATCCCCAAATTAACCTATTAACACGACTAAGTAAACATATTATATGCTCTCCCAAAGCATATAATCTTTTAAAATTAATAATCTTTTCTTTTAATGTTAAATAGTGGTTTCATTAAATGAAAAGCCAAGCTCCATAAATACAACAGTAAAAAGATGAAGAAATAAAGTGATACAAGTCCTTACTTCCAAGAAACCAACCTAGACTTGCAAAACGCATATACACTCAACCTTGAAGGACCCTACATCACCAGCTATCTAAGAAAAGTCATACAAAGTAGCTTCCTTAGACTTCAAACCATCTGATCTTCTCCCCTCGATTCAAACCTCTTACAAACACCGCCAATAAACATCATCCCTTCAATAATAACCTTGCAAGTCATGGTTGGGGCAAAACACCAACCTACAATAATATGACGACTCCCATAAGAAAATTGATAAAGGCTTAGCATGTGCCAGTGGGGGTCGACACATAATTAGTGTCCAAAATGTAGGATTATTAAGAAAATGGGTTGGAGATAGATGGGAGAGAAAATGCGCCAAAGAGACACAAAAAGAATGCCAAGAGTAAACAGAGGGAAACTAAGAAGAGATGGAAGAACCGAACTGAGTCAACTCCCCAAAGATACTGTATCAAGCCACACATAAGGAGGTATAACCACCCAAGGAAAATATCAAACTCCACAATAAGGCTCACATCGGTCCATACTATATCAAGCCACACATAAGGAGGTATAACCACCCAAGGAAAATATCAAACTCCACAATAAGGCTCACATCGGTCCACTACCAGGCCGGCCACTTTCCATCTTAGGTGTTAACCCAAAGTGGCAATATACAAGGGACTTCCAAGACCTAAAAAACATCTTAAGGCCCAAGAAGCCCCTCAACAAAGTTAGACCCCCTAGAAGAAGAGGAAAGATTATCTTAAGTGCTAACTTTTCTTGGAGAGTTAGAGTCGAGGATAAGGGAGCAAGATTAAAAGCAGAGGGGTGGTTGGAGTGGGGCATGGATAGGGGATGGTTGGTGAGAGAAATAGAAATAAGAGAGGAAAAGATAATATAAAAGAAGGGGGGGAGGGGGGAGAGAATCCCCCCTACTCACACTTCCTAATGCCCTTATTTCCAAGATAAAAGAGAGAAAGGGCTAAGAATGAGGAAGAAAGTTAAGAGGGGAAAAAAAACTAAGACAAAAGGAAGAAGTGCCAATAGAAGGTAAGAGGTAAGGATGGAGAGAGAGAGTTAAGGAAAAAGAGATGGTACAGAAAACAAAAAGAGAAACAAAGAAAGAAAGATGATCAAAAGAAATAACAACAAAAAACAAAAGTAGCGGTGAACAAGTATGTGGGGAAGTGGTAGCTTCAATGGACGGCTTCAATGGTGGTGAGTGCAACAACTAGGAATCTTTGAGTATATGAGGAGAGAGAGGGGGAGAGCGGTAGAACCAACAGAGAGAGAGAGAGGGGGGGTGGAGGGAGAGGAACAACTGTAGCAAAGAGGTGGAGACAACGAGGGAGAGCAGAACTAGAGAGAAAGAGGAAGAGGGAAAGTGGGGAAGAGCAGTAGCAACAAAGAGTGAGGAAGGGAAGGAAAATGTATGTGGAGAGAGAAAAAGAGAGCAGCTGCTACAGTAGAGAGAGATCTGGAGAGGGAGAGAGAAAGAAGAAGAATAACAACAACAGAGAGAGAAAGAAGTGATATGGAGATTGGATCTCCAGAGAGATACGGAGAGCAGCTGCTACAACAGAGAGGGAGGAAGAGAGATGTTCAAAAATAAAAGGAGAGAAATGGCAACTAGATCTAAAGATAGGAAGTGGGGAGAGAGGGAATATGATTCACCTCTCAGTTGCCCACACTTATACTATTGCAAAAAAATGGCTTCTTCAAATAACACAATACGGCATAAAGAGGCTTTAATGGTCGTGAACATTGATTCCCCTTTTCCCTCTTTAATGAAAACAAAGGATTATGAAAAAGATTATATGAAGAAAACAACAAATTGA